GTCCGTCCTTGGGGGATTTAATCGTGCGCAAACTTGCCCTTTATAAGCACGCACATCGTTTCATTTGATGTTTCCTCGCTTATCTCCGATACATATCCCTTCCTAGGCAGGATGCAGTATGTGCGAGTAGTATGGCGCCGTTCAGCCTTGTGAAGAGTCGTCTACTTTGCCCACTCCTGCATAGGGTTTCCATATTAGCGGCATTTTCCCATGATTTTTTCTCTCTTTTTCTTCACTACTGGTTCACGATAATTATTTAATTTATTGATTTATATTTATTATCGGCATTCTATGACAGTTGGCGCCACAATAAAAAAGGAAACTAGAACAAAATCTTTTCAACATATGAACTCCATAACTCATTATTCTTGAAAGCGGGCTCAGCCTTCAAAGGGTAAGCCAAAGCAGTTATGGCAGCCAGGTGGGCGAGGCGGCATCCTCTTCACAAGCGGATGGCGCCATCTTCTCGTATTTTTGAGCTGCAAATTAGTACATCCTGCACCCTTGTCGTAGGGGGGTGGAAGCATTAAATGAAACGAGGGGCGCTGGCTTCAACGAATCCCTCTGCGGTGACCCTCATGTTACTTTAGTGTTCCTAAAGGCAAAACCTTCTCTGTTTTTCAGCATGGTAACTGCTGTTCAGCGCTGCATGTCTCGCTACGAAAGTTATCACAAGAATGCTGCGTTATGGGTAAAAAATTGAACTGCAGACGGGACACGAACCCCCTGCACCAGCAAGCTCGCAAGAAGAAGAGGCAGTTAACGAAGGTTTCTTGTCAAGAACCTGGTATTCACATGTGGAATCAAAATATGTGAACTACTGTGAAGTCGCAATTTGAGTTTCGTACATTCCTATGCCGTCAGCCAGAGTCGTGTGGACGCCCTTAGAGTTCACCTATCCTCCTGGGCCAGCCTTGACCCACACATTGATCCCGAAGGATAGAAGTTTGCCAAACTGGAGCATCCAGCGATCGACACTTTCATCCTTTAATCATTGTGGCAGTGCCTCTGCCATTAGCCGACGTCTCCTTATGGTCTCACTTTGTAAACCAGTGTTGTGCTCATTTTCATAAAACACAGCAAGGTTAGTATTGCAAAATGCCAAAAAGAACGAGTTCGTTCAGCGCTGGGGGCGTGGTTCCTGTGGTGGGCGGAGACACCAAAGCCACTTGACGCATTTTCGCAGATATGTTGCACAACTACCTTATTATCGAACACCTACTAACTAAACCAGAAATTGGGGCAACAGGGCGCAGGCCGCAGGCACAAGGACCTCATCAGTTGATCAGTGAATTGGTTACTGGCTAATACACGTCAACAGTAACTGATACTTTTCGCGATACACCTTGCAGAGAAATGAGCCTGGATTCTATCACAGAAGGGGTCAAATGGATTGCAAGTGAAGACAAAAGCCGAGTAAACCGTTGAAGCCCACATGGCTTTAGGATAGGATTCCGTAAGGAATAATCGCAACTCATGACCAAGGGTCCAGAAAACAAAATGGTCGGCGCTAGGTGACCCACTAGAGAGGATAAAGAAAAAACTACTGAGAATGAAAACTGATGTCTATACATTGAAAAAAGGAACAAATGAAAAAATTGTGGAAAGTAAGGAGGCAAAGTGAGCACAGAAAGAAAGAAGGACCTCAACAAGGCCCTCCTTTGACACAATGATATTTGTAGAGCCATGGCTCCTGGGTAGATGAACTGTTTACGACGACATCTGCAGATGGCGGAATGATACCAGATAGGACCGGCCGTCATAGGGCTCTACCAACAGGCATTACAATTACTACTACGGGAGCTATTTGCGGTCAATAAGAGCCTCGAGGGGCATTGGGCTAAGAATTGCATCCTCGCTTTCAAAAATCATCTCCTGGCCGTAAAAATGGGAATTCATGGCGGTTGTAGGCGAAGGCTACACCACGAAGGGTCAGATGGATTGCCAGTGAAGACAAAGGCCGAGTGAACCGTTGAAAACGCCCCGAAATAAGGGCCCTAGTTGTTTTAAGCGATAACCAAATAATCGATAAGAATTCCTGACGAATGGTTAGACACCCATAGGTGGGGTCTCATCGATTATCGCAGACTGTCTCGTCTTGACGCGGGCAGCCGTGGAAGGAGAGCGGTCGTACTGAGTGCAGTATACCTGTCAAGACAGAAAGCCTAGGAGCAGCTACTGATATCGATACTGAAGCCCTGAAGCGCTTTAATCAGTGACTCGCAGATCACTGACTGGAAACTTGCCACGATGAAACGGGACGATGTTTGCTAGTTGAGTTGCAAAACCTTATGAGTTATGAGAGATAGGAAATTTGTTGGCTTTTTTGCCCAGGCAAATTCATTAGTTGGGGATTTTGGTCGAGCTCCGCTACGACCGCCTCCCCCTTTAAAAGGGTAGCTTTGGAATAAAAGACTCCATCTGGTCATCTGCTCATCGAACCTAGTAGGGGGGGTGATACGCACACGAGAAACTGAAAAATACTGACCTAGTCCTTCTCCATCCATTCTTAAGGTTGTCTCCGCGTCTCTACCACTTTTCAGCTAATTCGCCGCACACTTCCTAGTTTTTCTCAAAGATTTGTTGCCGTTGAGGGGGATATAGTATACAAGAAACAGGAAAAATCACGCAACCTCTCTCACAAAGCTGCGAAGGAAACAAGGAGAAACACGCGACCGCCCCCCTTCCTTGCCCTTAACCGTCCCTGAGGAGCACAAAATCAACTATCCAATGAAAAATTTTCCACAGTTCGAGGTACGACACCCCCCCCCCTGTTGGAATGCCCCACAACTGATGTGCTCTGTTTTTCTCTGCCCAAGAGCGTTAGAGTGAATGGTGAAGTCGACTGTGAGGCGAAAATTCAAATACCGGCTCGTTATGGCTAGCTGTTTAGCGGCGAGTTCATTCAACCACATTAGTATCCTGTGATTTTAATTTTATGGGTAAATAGGTCAAACTAGATGGGTTAAATTATGCGCTCAAATCGATTCATCATGACGTCAAATTAGTCTTGTATTTGTGCCGACCAAGATTGCTGACGTTTATGAGGCCAACGTTTCAGCTTCCTCGCCTTTGTCAGAGCCTGAACGTAGTGCCAAACAGATGGCTCTCCAAACCGCGCTTAACAAAACTGAAGATCAACTTTGAAAAAGAACCAGTAACAATTTAATCGGCGTTGATCAGTAAAGAGGACTTCGGCTTACGCTTTGACGTCCTCCGCGGAGACCCAAAGATGGAACGCATCCAGGTTGTAGGAACGCTTGAAGAGAGTTCCGGGTATGTGGCAAGAGAATCGTATTTCGCCGCGCCAGGAGCGTGGCATGCGACTTCGCGCCCGCTAATGAGATTTTGGGTGGTATTGGTTGAGAATAGACAATGTATGACCAACCAGAAATAGACATAATTTTCTACCATTCCCTTGTATCCATGAAATCTGATGCTCCAGTCAGAAAGGTAGTGCAAATTAAAGGAGCGTCGCGCCCATTGCCCGCGCGCACGAGCCGAAGCGGAAGTTGATTTCGGCTGTTTCCGTCTCCGAGAGTTCCCCTCTATCCCTCGAAGTCAACCTCGACCTCACAAGTTCAGATGATAGTTGCATAAAAAATGATAATTTGATTTCGATTCATCATGTATAGTTAACTGGAAATTCCTATTGATTTGTTGGGCCAAACTAGATGGGTTAAACCATGCGCTATAATCAATTCATCATGCATAGTTTACTGAAACTTCCTATTAACTTCTGTTTTCTATTCCTCTAGACCGGTTCAGATGATAATTGCATAAAACTTAATAATCTGATTTCGCTCGCTAAAAATCATTTTGAAAAGATGCTGTTATACCGCTGTAAAGTGAGCGAATAGTTAAACGCAAAAATTAGCTATCAATTCAATGGGGGTCAACAATATAGGAGTTGATGGCCCCTGCCGGGTCCGCCTATCGTGACGAATAGTGAGGGAGGGCGGGGCAAAAAGAAAGTTATCTTCCTCGCTCTAAAGGGCGATAAGAGGATCACAGTTTGATTAAGTACTGGTTGGACATTTTCACCCATCGAATTCAGTAACACAGTACACGATCACGAAACTCCGTCACAGCCTTCTGGACGAGCGCTATCGAGAGACTCTGCCACACGACCGTGATTCGTTGCCTGAGTTCAGCGAGGCCGTTGATTTCTTCACCATTGTAGACCCCCCCCCCCGTTGGGGCTCGCCCGGACCGGGTATCGATGGGGTTTAAGGTTTGAATGAGACAGCTGTGGAAAATTCAGTTTCTTCAGGGCAACTCAACGCCCTTTCGATTTCAAAGTAGGCCATAGTTTTTTGATTGGCATGTGCTGCACAATCCTGTATGTAGTGAGCGAAAGTTTCCAGGATGAGTTGAGGGCGGACAGAAATGAGGCGCAGGATCGTCTGCCTAGAAGTTTGGTCGAGTGTCACAGTCAGCGACTCACGTTTCCAGTCGCGGGGTCCACGAAGAAAATATTGCGCTTTTCCCATCTCACGACAGTTGTCGGTCCTATACCATCAACGAAGGGTGGACGCGCGCCTTGGTGACCTGCGGTGAAGATGATATATTGGGACGCGTAGCTGACGTTGTCAGACTGCCCCGGACTGTGTGTTTTTTTCTGGTGCGCTCGTGAAATCTCTTTATTCAAGGGATGCGCCTAAAGCAGCAAAATTCATTGTTCAGGGGAGACAGCTTAGAACCTGGGGCCAATTAGCGTGGCAGTATGTTATGTGGTCGCTTGGACATGGAAAACGGAAAGAGCGAAACGGGGTATAATAAAAGATAGCGTGGGCAAGACGTGCGACGGGGGATCAACAACGTCAGCTTCACTCTCAAATTCTCTTTTTAATGCGTGCCATCCCGGAGAAGTGTTGAGGGGGAGTACCGCTCAAAATGTCACCATTTCCGCGAGAAAAGACAATTAAACAGGAATATTTATTGTATGTTGCTTTTCTTACTGGTTTTCTATGGATGGCTTCACGGCCATCTTCCCGCAGTCATCGTGAGATGCCCATACATTTCTTGCAATCGTAGATCTCGCAGATCTTAAGATAGTCGTAAGGCGAGGCGTCATCTTGATTACCGATCACGTCCTGGAATTGAAACATCGTAATCACATCTAAAAGGCGGACATTGACGCGCCTCCTGTGTTGTCAACTAATTTTGGAGTGCGCCATATAGACCCTATCAACCGCTGATTCTCATATAATCACTAATCTCTTCTGCTCCCTTCTTTTCTGCGGTGATAGGTGGTTTCGAAGATGTGGGCGCAATTCGGCTCTGGGTGGGGGGGCATTTTGCAAATTCGCTACTTCTCATCGACGTGTTACTACACAATTATAAGAGATGACTCGTATTCTTTACAAGGGCTGTTGTCAAGTACTCTTAACAAATCTTGACTGGAATGAGCTCACGGCTTCACAAGATTCCACAGGTCTCCACTTGAAGGCTCGACTCACACGATGAGAAGTAGCGCAAATGCGAAATGCCCCCCTCAAACCGAGCTGCGATGAGTTGTAATTGTGGCGGTCACTGCACATTCATTTTCATTTAACTGTTTCTTTCTTGCACACAAAACGTGCGCTAGAAAACACATAAGCGGGCAGGACTGCGGTGGCATTCCGAACGGAAAAAACAGAAGAATTTCAAATTGAAATGTTTGAAAAGGAAATGAAAGCACCTGGTATTCCGGATCTCTGGTCCGCATGCTGATTTTGTTTGGCCTCGCGAAGGCCCGCTTCCCATAATGCATCAGAGACTCATAATCATACGGTACATTGTAGGTGGTGGCTTGGAAGGGTGACACTTTCGTGAATTGATCGTGGTATTCTGAACATTTTTCATAGTACTATTGGTAATTCCTTATCCCCCGAGTCCGGATTAGGTCGACTTTTTATTGATTTATTTGTCAGTCTTTGACCACATTCGCTTATCTAGTTTAGGCTGACTTCTTCATTACACTCGCAATCCCTGAGATGCGGTAGGCGTGCCTGCGTGCTTGAACTGAAATCAGCGGTGGTCTTGCTTTTAGTGAAATATTTTCATTCTTAGACAATTGTAGTCATGTCTTTGTCCAGCTCAGAACAAGATGAGAGTTGTCTCCAACTGGAATAGCCTACGAGTAACCCGTCCTATGCTATGTTCAGATGCCACGCCTACCCCGTCTCAGGGGTTAGGGGTGTACCTGGTTACTGTAGATTGTTGTCAGGAGCTAGCAGAACTCCTGTTATCGCATCGCTTTACTGGAAATCGCACCAATCCCCAGAAAGCAGCCCATCGAGAACGTCCCATAACACCCCTCCCTTAACTGCCGTACACTCTGACTGTACGAGTTGTCCTTCTTTCGCTGGCAAATCCTTGGCAAATCGGCAGCCTGCAAAGCCTGGCTAACAACTCGTTTCTTCGCATCTT